CCAGTAGGGCCCTCTCCACATCCCACCAGAGAGAACAATTATGATAGTAATTGTGAGAACAATGGTGCCCACTAGGGAAAACTCTCACCACATTGGAGGAACAGACCTCAAATCTAGTGAAAACACTAGGGAAGGCTATCCTTCCCGAAGGCTCAGAATGGCTAGTGTTTACTAGCATCCCCTTCCCCCCGGAATATGGAAGTACTGGTGTTTGCTAGTGTTTTCTCCTCCAAAGGGGCAGGAACAATGGCATTCATTAAAACACAAGTAAACACTATTGTTCTGAAAAGTTCAGAACACTGGCATTCACTGGCGTTTTCACCAGATTTGACTCCTGTTCCTAAAATACATGGAAAGAATTCCTTTCCGCACAGAGTGGAGGAGAAATCCCTTGGAACAATGGGTAACATATTTTAAATCCAACATCCCACTAGCTCGTAACTTCCCTGCTGGCTTCCCCATTGACTTTCTGGGAAACCAGGAGAGAAGATTGCAAATGACAATCACATAATTGAAGGTCCTTGTCAAAAGATTGTAAAATACAAACACCCGAAATGTGGTCCTGTGACTGAAGTGAGGGATGACGTGATGGTTTGCAATGCCTGAAAGTGCTTTCTGGGCGATAAAACACTTTCTACAAGGTTGTTGTGACTGTGAATGGTCATTAAATGATCGGTTGTACATTGAGGACTATTTGTAGTTCAGTAGAAGATACTGTAATACTTATAACTTATAATTATGAAACTTTTAATTCTGACCTGGTTTATTCTTCTTCATACTTTTTAAAATATATATTTGATGTGCTATTTGGGTGAAAACCAGAACTGAAATGATAACAATGATTATTGATATGCAGAAGTTAGAAACAGAAACATTGTACAAATGAAGCTTTTGCATTTGAAAATTACCAAAACCATGTCCTCTGGAAGACTCACATATTTGCTTCAAAAGTGTCTCTGGTTATCTACAATTTGCATTGGTATGTAGACATAATACTACATTTCACTGGGATCATCAGTGAAATGAAATGACTGTGACCTGCACACTCATGCATACCAGTTGAGAACAGCTTTTCATGAGTTTAGCAAAGGACCTAGCTATTTTAAGAATTTGAAGAAAGGGGCTCTATTTAGATTAACACCCTTTTCAAAGTATCTTATTCAAATAGATGTTGCCCTAGATGTTGCTGTTGTGATTATTACAATTATCATGCTATATATCCCATCTTTCTGTCCATGATGTAGTCAAAATGACTAACAACCTAAACTAAATTTCAAACAATTGAAAAGCAATTCATTAATTAAAAAAATAAAGTTATTACTAATAGAGGGTTGATTAAGTGCCTCAACTCCTTTCCTAATGATAGAATGAAGGGAACAATATTCAAATCCCAAAGAAATGCCTTCCAAAGCTTAGGATCAGTGTAGGGAAAGTGCTATCATAAAAACAATTTCATCTCATCCGTGCTGCATTTCCTTTTGCTATATATCCTACCCGATAGTTTGGGGATTGATTCAGATTAGCTAATCTGAACAAAAAAATATTAACATTAATATACTGACATGGAATAAAACTTCATGTAACAATTAGCAATGCCAGGTACTTGCCCAGAACATCACTTCTGAGTTCCTGTATCTGTTTATTTCTATATTTAGTGCCCAATCTTATTAAATATCAACACTTGGACCAAAATTGCTAGCTAAGTGGTAGACTATTGCATTAAACTTTAAAAGTAAGTAATTCATCAAACTGAATGATACTGACATTGCCAACTGTACACTGAAATGTATAAGCAATATCAAAAACTACAGCAAATTCTCATTAGAACAAAGCAAGAATCATAATCTTGCCAATATTATGTACTTAAAGGTTCCAATGATTTCATTGGGTGATTTATGTATATGGATAATAGGCTCAAAAGTTGCTCAACTTTGCCTAGATCATAAATAAAAGAGGTGAAGTTTTCTTTAATGCATAGAGAAAAATCCTAGGATGAAACTAATTTAAGCTTTAGCTGCTAAGAATTGTCTACCTATTTTTTTTCCTGTACAGAAATGAATTTGAGAACTACAGAAATTTCTTTCATGCTTAGCCTTAAGAAAGGATACTCAAATGGGGATATGATAGTATTCTTCAAATACTTGAAAAAATGGCACAAAGAAGAAGGTCAAGAGCTCTCCTACCTTGGAAAGAACATGAAATAATGGGGAAAAATCCCATTATTATACAACTTATATGAAAGACTTATTAAAAAATAATCAAAAGAGAATTTTTCAGTACTGTCAAAAATATTAAATATATAGGCTTTCATGTTATATAGATTGAACTATATCCCAAAATAATACATGATGTGTTCATAGAGACTTATTCTTAGATACAGTATGACTTCTCATATCTGTGGGATCCTTGGTGCTCTCTGAATTTGGTTATTATTGATGAAGTTGTATGGATAGCCATTTGTTGGAAGATGTTATGTAGATGTTGTGTTTCCTTTTTCTGATATTCAAGGTTGCTACAGTATTTGTGCTCATTTAAATTATGTTCTTACACAGTTTCTCTTATGGAAATTTGGATTGTTGCTTTGTAGTGGAGCACTTGTTTGGTGTGGGTAGTTTTGCAATAAATTTGCCATCATTACATCTGCTGATGAGGATATCCAGGAAGAGTAGTATGTTGTTGTTCTTCTTCCTTAGTACATTTTACTCCTTGTTGATGGTTCTGTGTGTGTTCTCTAGCTGGTCCTTTTTTTTTTTTAATGAAAAAGGTGTTATCAAATCCATACTTTGGGTTGCATACAAGGAAGTGCTATAGATTCCAGGCATTGCATTAAGGTCTCTGCTGTTAATCCTCAGTTCAACCATGAACTATAAATATTTTCTTCTATTGTCCCTTCTCATATCTATTAGGAATTTGAATTTTGAAATTAAGTACAGATTGATCAAAATAATTTTCTAGGTTAATGTGCAGACAGGAATATGAGTAGTTTTGAATTTATACATGTATATAACATATAAATTATTGCAAATGGTCGTTGAAAAAAATTGAAAATATATTTTCTAAGAAAACATGATTAAAATATATATCGAAACAGAACATATGCAAGAAAATATAAAATTGCAAATGCATGTATAAACAAGATAGACAAGACTGATGAATGCACAGTAGTAGATGAAATAGCAAGCACAAAAGATTAATTTGTTCATCACTAAGAATGATTTTAGGTTATTTTTAGGCCAACACTAAGAAAAACATAAGAAAACAAAATCTATTAGCAAATTTGACTTGGCTTTCAGAATGTGGTGGTCTGAATGCCTACTCTTTCCAATGTCAAAAGATTTGAGACAAAATTAACCCATTAATGAAGAACTCACAAATTATGTGATTATATCTATAGTTGGATGTTTAGCTAATGAGGCATTTCAATGGAGTACAAATAAAATCATAACATAGACATTTATTTATAATCATATGCATATTGGATATACACAGATATATAGATATTGTTTACCACATGTGAAAGTACTCCAAAAGTATGTTCATCTTTGAAAAGGGAGATATTTTCTTCACTGATTGCTCCATTTTAGCAGAAGACTGATAAGTGCAGTTTTTCCATGCTTCAAAAATATAGTTCCAGAAAAAAAAATACTTAAAATGTATAATATTAAGAAGCCATGCCCCATATCCTAGAAATATATAAAAATGCACCTGATAGAAAACTGTGTTCCACAATGCTTAGGTCTCTAAACGTGTATAGTAAGACTATGCATCAGTTCATATAAGTAGGTGAAAATAGTAAAATGTTATTTGAATTCAGGCTGAAAAAAAGAATTAATGGTCTGTAAGAAGAAAGCAAAAGTTACATTTACATAAACCATTATGTGAAGCTTCTAAACCCAATTTTCACTTTATTTTATTGTGTGGGACACTTGTCAGTCAGAGATGATTATATAAAATACCTCAAAAAAATCAATTCTGGATTTACCATAAGAAAAACATTAAAATACTACAGTCTCTGTTTTCAGTGGAGCTTATTATTTTTTGAAAGGACTAGGTTTTTTAAGACATCTTAGAAATGAGTTTATAACCCATACAAAGCAATTCAGCACACTAGATTAAAACAGATTCTTTTTTGGTTAAAACAGAAACCAAATGGATATTTTTCTGGATTATGCTGCTGCATTTGCACACTGGAAAATTATGCAATTATTCCTAAACTGTATCCTTTTTAGTGAATTATATTTCCTATTCTCTTCCCAAACCAATTTTATAATTAAGGTGCTTCAACAACTAACATAAGTTTACTCACTCATTTGGAACTAAACACGATTGGATACACTGGCATTCTTTTATGAATATATAAAATACCTTGTGACTATTTATATAACTGTTGATTGCACTTTAAAAACTTATTAGATACAATATAAGCTGTCTTACATTAATAATGGTCATTGGAAGTAGAATTTCCATTGCTAAACAATGTGGCCTTAAAGTGTGATATCACATGTCAGCATCACTTAGTGATGGAAATCCTGGTACTCCACAGTGGGTTGTTAAGGAAGTCCTTGATGGCTCATGAGCAGTTTGGCAGGCAAGTAAATGAGTGCTGCTGGGTGAGGGGGTACACAGGTGGCCGGTGAGATGCAGCACAGGCATGGCGAGGATTGCTGCAGGGTGTGGAAAAATGTGAAAAACTTATTGGAACCACTTGCGAGTTGTCCTTCTGGCTTCCCCATTGACATTGCATTTGGGAAACAGCAGGAAAGGTTGCAAATAAAGAACACATGACTGTGAGGCAGTATAACTGACATAAGCATAAGCTGGTTACCAAGTGTCCAGATCATAATCATATGATTGTGGGAGGGCTGTGTGCTGGGATGGCCAGAACTTTGAGAACTGATCTTATGTGCTCCTTGTTCAGCACCACCATACCTTTGAACAGTTGTTAAATGAGTGGTCTTTAAATGAGAACTATTTAAATTCTTAGAATAAAAGGTACTCACCATTTAATTTGGGGCTTGGTGTTCCCAAAGCAGGTTTAGGATCTTTCACCAATATTTTGGAACCAGCTGTTGATAAAAGTAAGAACACACAGATTGCTTACATTCAGGGCACTCATTCACAATAACATTAAACCATTATAACATATAACCCTTTAACATTTAATAAACACAGTATTGGGTAAGGTACTCAAAAGACAAAAATCAGTGCAATTAAAGCCACAAAGATGTTTGAAATTTCTCTGTACTGCATATGCAAAGAATTCAAATTAACAGAATGTACTATAATAATGATCCTACAAAAATTGTAACTTTTATAAAGTTATAACAATTATAAATTATAATTGTTATGAATCATTATTACATTCATAGAATATGAAATCAAAATTTAATTTTTAAAGCGCTGCATCTACATTGCTCTTTCTAGTATCACAATTCTTTTGCAGCTATTGCACATTTTACTAGCAAATTCTATCTTCTCCTGTTCCCTTTGCGACCTGTTCATATATTTTAGGCTATTCAGATTCCATTTGGTAGAGAAACATGATGCATTAACTGTTTTTAATCATGTATATTTTTATTTGTAAATCACCAGTTATTCAGGTGAGATGGGCAGTTTATAAATTTGCTAAATAAATAAAAATAAATTATACAGATTAGTCTAACAAGGTAGATCAGCCAGGAAACACAGGTAGAGCAGCTAATTTAACCATACAGTAAAGTTATATTAACAGAATCTTGCAAGTCTGAAAGTACAAACTTCCCCTTTCCACTTTACACAGCTAAAAAAAAAAACTGTGGAGGGTTCCTACTGAATCACTTGACCTATCCACACTCCTGCTGGGGGCTAAGTTGCCTTTTCTCTATACATTCCTTTGTCTGTAACTCTTCACCTTGTCTCCCAAGGTGATCCCCACATACCATTATAACAATTTTAAAATGTTCTTCAGATGGTTTGCATTTGCTAAAGTGTGTGAAACTAAACTGATTCACATTAGGTCTACCTGAAGTGGAAAGAATCAATCCCATGAACTCTGTGTGGAAGTCCAGGCTGCTTCTATGATTCCAGTTAGGTAGGAACAGATTTGCAGGTTTGTTAAAATTGTAAACTGCATATATCTAGAAATGCTACTTCACACAAATAAAGCTTCTGCATAATACCAATGTGATTGGTTTTCCAACAGTAGGAAGACTTTCTTGAATTTTGGTTTGTGATGACTAGGGGTAGATGGGGAAGAAAATCTGATTAAAGTTTTTATTCATTTATTTATTTTGCTGGTAATAGGTCAGCATATTAAGACCAAAGAATCACACAGATTTGATCCTTCAAGATTAGTTGGTGAACTTTCTATCGCATCTCAATCTGAAAGAAATATTTAGATTAGATATATTTCCATGCATTGGGGGAGTAGGAGGAACAGAAGGAGGATGAGGAGAAGGGGGAAGAGGAAGGGGAAGGAGAACTACTGCTAGGAAGTAAGGCTGTAGGTAGGCCCACTCAAATATTTATTTAAAGTTGTTCCCAATGCTTCAACAAACCAATAATAAATATTAATATTAATGCATAATAAATTAGTGGATGCTTCTGAGAATCAGATCAGATTATTGTAAGCATGTGTATGAAAATTCATCTATACTCATATAGATTTTAGAAAAGAAATGGATATATGATAACAAAAAAACTTCACAGTTTGAAAGCTGACCAACACAGCTATCCCTGCTATGTTTTCGATTGTGGTGAGAAAGATATATTTTTTTATTCTTTATATCACCAGCGAAGTCACTTTTCTGTGAAATCTATTCATCACCAACAAAAGAAGACAGAGGAATATACTGCTTTCCCCTTGACTCCCATGACCTTTCCATTCGGAAATAACAGCCTTTTATGCCTTTTCTGTTGTGTTGGAAATCTGGAGCAGATTCATATCTGTACTAATCTATGAAGAAAAAAGCACCCATGGAGTTTGTCTTCACAACTTCCTCCAAAGTGTCTTTGTGCATAACTGAATTGAAATTCTGCAAACCAGAATTAAACATACCAAACAAAGCTGGTAGCTGGAAAGGATAATAATAACAATATTAAAAAGATGACAAGAAAAGAAAATGATAAAACTCTCATGAGTGGGGTCTTTCTTATTTCTGTGCCAAGCCCAAAGGAAAACATGATTAAGTTATTTCTTCTGTATGTCATTGTCAAATCAAGGAGCATGGGCAGTGGTGGAGGTTTCAGAAATCTGGACCACACAAGATGACAACAAATAGAAAATGGACTTTGTAACTATTTTCTGTCATCTGGTGGTTGCATGGATTTGCGCAGCCTAGAACTGGTGGTCCTCTCTGACCTAAGTAAAGTGTACTAACCCTAATCCTTAAATACTGAAGAATGTGGGAAAGTTCGTTGCTATAGCAGCTTGCTAAGTTTCCTCAAAATAAGATATAACGTACACTGCGCCAGTTCAACCATCTCTTGAAAATCCTTCAGAATGGGAAGAAGAGAACAATTTTTTTTTTTTACTTTCAAACATAATTGCACATTAACAAGCCAAATTCAAAAAGCACAAGCTGAGTTCAAAAGGAAAACAGAAATATCATTTCAATTAAATGAATGAATCTATTTTTCACTTTGTCCCTCTCAAATGCAAAAAAAGAGTTCTGTGTAATTTAAGTTGGGTTGATTATTTATTTATTAAATTTTTATGCCACCCAGAGTCACCTTGACCACAGATTTTTGTTCTGAACACATCAACTGTAGCGATAATAATAGATTTTAGGAGAAGCCCTCATATTCTATCACTTCTTACAATGCTAGACAACACGGTATCAACAATAGAGACCTTCAAGTTTCTAGGTTATATAATATCTCAGGACTTAAAATGGACACCTAACATCAAAAATGTCATCAAAAAAACAAAATAAAGGATGTTCTTCCTGCGCCAGCTCAGAAAGCTCAGACTGCCCAAGGAGCTATTGGTACAGTTCTCCAAAGGAGTTATTGAGTCTGTCATTTGTACCTCTATAACTGTCTGGTTTGGCACAGCAATCAAATAAGATAAACACAGACTTCAACTCATAGTTAAGACTGCAGAAAAAGTAATTGCAACCAGCCTGCCTTCCATTGAAGACCTGTATACTACATGAGCCAGAAAGAGGGCTATGAAAATATCTACAGAACCCTCATATCCTGGACATAAACTGTTTCAAGTTCTTCCCTCAAGATGGTCCTATAGGGTATTGCACGCCAAAACAACCAGATACAAAGACAGGTTTTTTTCCCCCATGCTATTACTCTGCTAAACAACTAATTCCCACAACACTGTCTAGGATGGCAATCCAGCTAGTATGGCTGTATTACCTATTATCCTTCTCATCTATTAATCTTTCCTATACCTATTTCCTTAGCTTCTATGATTATAACTTTGTTATTTATATCTCATGCTTTATGTTGATTTTTTAAATTTAGTATCCTATTATGATTTACATTGTTTGCTTATTTAGTATCCTCTGACTATCACTAAGTTTATATCTTATGTTTTATGATATTTTATTATTATGATCATGAGTTGTTGCTTGTATGTACACTAAGAGCTTATGCACCAGAGACAAATTCCTTGTGTGTTCAATCACACTTGGCCAATAAAGAATTCTATTCCAATTCCTATTCCTGCTCTATTCCATTCCATTCCATTCCATTCAAGTTTTAGTTGTCCATTGTCCTGAGTACTGCACATTTATTACAAGAGTAGATAGGTATTTTATGTAAAAAAGTAAAATAAATAACTTTATTTATATCAGGTAGGTATATAAACTCTGCCTTCATTTTGGTAAAGGGTAAAATGAATTTTCCACATCCTTAATATTGGAAGAAAATGTGAATACAAAGAAACAAAGGAATTGGCAACTTTGAAATATTAATTCTTCCAAAGAAGAGGAAAGATATGCAATACATTACCTTCACAGAAAGGAACCTTCCCGGTCCATGTACCATCAGATCTACAGACTCTGTGTTCTGATCCTCCTGCTAGAAAGAATCCCGGTTGGCATGTATATATCAAGGTATAACCAAGGGATGGAAGATCCATTCCTGCAACGTTGGTGTGAGCGGGAGATTCGGGCTGCTTACAGCTGTGAGCTAAAACAAAAATGCACAATTTATGTATACATGACATGCAATGGCATATCCTTCAACTACAAGTAATGATCATTGTTCAAATTGTTCTGAAATGTGTGAGAAGGTCTTTAATAACTCCACACTTTTCTTAACGCCTCAATTTATGTCACACCATGCCTGGGAGCAGTTAAGTAGTGTGGTTGCTTTGGTAGTAGAGACAGTGGATTACATCCCATATGTTCCCCATATATTTGAATACTAGAGACGATGTGGAAGATGAAGAGCATATCCTTATGCTTTTATCACTGCATTTTATCTGGGAAATCTTTGCACCAGTTTTATCACGAATTACATAGCCTGGGCCATAATTGTAAATATTTATGCTTGATAGTTCTGTATGTGTTCAAATAGAATAAATGGATAACACATCATACATATTTGCCAGATAGCAACAAGAATAATTGAAATGATAAGCAAAACAACATTTTTAGTGGATCAAGCTGAGATGGACAGATAGCTATTTTGAAACAGGATAATATGGGTTTTTTAAGTACTCATATTCCTTAAAAATGCACTGTCCCGCTTGTCTCCATTTTTCATTGCCTTTTAAATCGGTCTTAGTAATGCTTTTGAAATGAGAGATGTTCAGTAGTGCTTTGAAATGAGAGATATTCAGTTTCCTTGGGGTGTATGTATGCACTTAGAATCACAACTGAATCCAAAATTTCCTTTGCTAAGGAAGACAGTTGTTAAGTGAGTTTTGTCCATTTTGCAAACTTTATTGCCACAGTTGTTAAGTGAATCACTGAAGTTTGTTAAGTTAGTAATATGGTTGTTAAGTGAATCTGGCTTCCCCACTGACTTTGTTTCTTAGAAGGAAGCAAAAGGTGATCATATGACTCTGGGACATAGCAACCATCATAAATACATGCCAGTTGCCAAGTGTCTGAATTTTGTTCATGTGACCATGGGGATACTGCAATGGTCATAAGTGTGAAAATGGTCATAAATCACTTTTTCAATGCGGTTGTAATTTTGAATGGTCACTAAATGAATGGTTGTAAGTTGAGAATTACCCGTATTACATTATCTTTTTATTTTTATTATTAAAGCCTGAGAGACCTCTACCAATATCCTTATTCTCAGAGGTATTCAGAAAGGGAAGAATAGTGTCAGTATCCAACCCATCGAGTTTCACTTTAACACTAGTATTTCTGAATGATTTAGAACAGTGGTTCTCAACCTTTTTAATGCCGCGACCCCAACCGGTCGTAAGTCGAGGACTAAACCGGTCGTAAGTCGAGAATTACCCAACCGGTCGTAAGTCGAGGACTTTCCCTGCCCGGGAGCGCCGCACATGCGTGGTTCCACCCCCTGCACCGGCCGAGGCATATCTGGCAAGCGGCAGAGACGGAGCAGGCCCACCACCAGCTGGCCCAGCCCAAGGGAGGTAAGGCACCCGCCGGAAAAGGGGCAAAAAATGGCGGACAAAAAAAATGGCGGACAAAAAAATGGCAGACAGCCTTGCTTGGCGACCCCCATGAAATGGTTGATTGACCCCAAATGGGGTCCCGACCCACAGGTTGAGAACCACTGATTTAGAATCTCTACACTAGAGTTATGATAAAAGAAAAGATGGAGCCTCACCAATATAAATCTCCATCATTTCTCTTTCAAGATCAGGAAAGGTTTAAGTTGTGGGGGGAAAAAAGAAAAGGTAGCCTTCTCTACAATGAAACTGCACAATATTTCCCGCTCTTTGAAAGATTAAGAATAGATCAATTTGATCTGTAAAGAAAGCTGGATGAATATTTTCAAATACAGTTAGGTCCTCCTTAATTACCATAAAATACTTGGGCAAATTTCAACATTGGTGCCTTTGAACTATTTCGACAGCGTAAATTGTGTTCTGTATTAAAATTCATTAATTGTAATTGAATCCACATTTTACCTTAAGACAGTGAAATATTCCCAATACATGGGGAAAGGGGACTCCAGAAACACCCAGAGAAGACTATATGGGGTGATATGAAAATCCAGGTTGAAAGTCTAAGGACTGTTAAGACTGCTAGATAAATAAGAGTCTTGGCATAATTTTTTAAAATATATGCATTATGTGGCAGTATGTGGTTGATTTTATCTGGGCTAGGAAGTTCAGCAGAGTTCCATATGGGTCTACTTTGATAAGATAATATCAAGGAATCCCAGGCTGCAGGGTGATTCTCTACTGTATAGATTAGTGAATATATTAATGTGGGGTTTTTAGTGTTCTCTGAGCTTGGTGGTTTTCTTGAAGACATTTCATTCATGTAAGCACCAAGCTCAGAGACCACCAAGAACCCCACAGTTAAACTCTGAGCTACAAGTATTCTCTTCTGTCAGACTATATTAATGCTGGTTTCTACTTTATTCCACCTTAGTTCATCCTTTCTCAATATTAGTTTACAACTTTAAAAAACAACGAAGAAAGAAAATCAGCACAACATCAGCATTTAAATTGGTGTTTTCTTAATACAGTTAGCACTTTTTCATTCTTTTTCATAAAAATACATACTTTCTGTAAACTATCTCCTTATATATAAACCTGTAAATATTTAGGTTGTTTGGAGAATGGCAGCACAAATAAAACACTAGTCTTATTTCTTGTTTAGATACTGATATGAGGCATGTGAGTCTCTAGGCAAAAATTCACATCACAATACTATTCTTTTTCCATTCTGTATCTGACATTTCTCTCTGTTCATGACTTACCAATGCATTCAGGTTGAATCCCACTCCATGTAAGATCAGAAAGGCAGGTTCGAGTTGTAGATCCTTGAAGCAAATAGCCTTTTCTACAGTGAAATTGCACAATATTGCCTATCTATTGAAAGATTAAGAATAGATCAATTTGATTAGTGATCAACTCAACATAGAGAGATCACAGACACATCCTCTCTGACAGATACACACTAACCTAACAAATGTAAGATATTTTTAAACACTAGTTGCTATACTAAATAATCTATGAACAGCCTGGATACAAGACTAGGTAAATCAACTTTTTCTTAATCACTTACAGATATCTATTGTCATTAGGATTGCATCAAGTAGTGCTCCCTATTTTCATAGACATTTTGCTATTTCAGGAAAAGTTTATGACAAGGATCAAAAAGATTGAATCCATCATAAGAAATGCATAAAATGGCCAAGGAATAATCTTTCCCATCTTAATTATTTTCCCCCCCTTATATTTAAAATATACCCTGCTCATTCACATTTTATAAGCATTGACTGGTTCCTGATGGGTACATGCAAACACACAACACTTATGACCTGGATCATGGCAATGACTGTGAAAAGGGATCAGTAGCTCCTTTCATACAATAAGTCACTTTATATTGGTGATGTGTCACTCATGTCACTGATGTCATTGCCAAGAAAACAAAATGTCTCTCACAGATAAAAATTATCTCTTCAGGCAGCTGAAAACCATAAATACCTCCTCCGTTATACAATTAAATTTTGTCCTTGTGTTTTTTAATGGCTATTAACCTGACTTTATGTAATTTAAAATTTTGTTTATTAATTACAGTTTGCTATTTTATTGCACACGGCAAATCCATATTATGTTATAACCTATGAGTTACAACAATAAAATGCGACTAAATTAAACTGACCTCTTGAGGCATTTGGACTTAAAGACCAACTAGGGTTACACATGAATGAATTCCATGCAATAAGTTTCCAGCAATAGTAATTTCTTTATTATTTGATTCTTCTCTTATTTTTATTCACAATGCACTTGTTATAGCTACACAAACTCATTTCCCTATAATATCAATATTATTTTTGTGAACATTAAATTCACTAGAAAAAGTTAGCTTTCTCCACTCTCCTCATCTCTTTACTGAGGTTCATATAAAACATGATAAAACTGACCCAGAGTTTACTACAAATATAATGGATCTATATTTATTTCTAATTTCAGACTGTGCCTGGGAACCTTTCAGAATTAATACACACATAAATGCTGAATTGACATTCGTGCAAACATGCCACAAAATAAACTACAAAGAAGTAGAATTTAATCCTTTGCACGTATGACAGTTTCTCTAAATAGATTCCTATTATTTCAGTTACATTCTGTGCTGCCCAATAATGGTTGCTGGTNCATTTCTACACATATATCTCAAGTCTTAAGAGTTCATTTCAGGAAAATAATGTCCTTCTAAAGCTTGCAGAGGAAGCTGGCAAAAAACTTTTACTTTGCCTTTATAAAATGAATGCAGCTTTTTTGGAAAGATTTATGATATCACAAAGCAGTAGACATGTTGGAGAAGTCATTAAAGGTAATGGTTGCAATTTGGTACTGTCTTATTTATTTTCCACAGATCAGATTGAAAAAGAGAGCTAGTAACCAAGCAAGTATATAGATAAAAACTATAATTTTACTAGTATTAACTATAAATACTGGAGAAGCCGTATTTTTTGTTCAGGGCAGTGCTTCTCATTTTCTTACTGCCCTCCTCCAAGTTGCAAATGTGACCTTTTCTTCAGAAATAATGTCAGTGCTGCCTTTAGGGTAAAACGTCTACTGTGGTGGAATGGAGCAAGCCCATGGACATGCTGTTAAAATGTTGATTGGAAAGCAAATCTCATTAAAAATGATCAAAGACTAAATGTAAGAGGATAGCACTTTTTAAGCCAATAAACTTAGGACTTTGTTTATGAATTTTATTCTGGGTGAGGAAATGGCTCCGCAACCACTTTAAAGAATTCATTTTGAACTGTCTCATGAAAATTGTGCTTCAGGAGGCCAAGGAACATAGTGAGCTGGGCCAGTTTTAAGCTAAGCTATACTTCTAGAAGCTCTGCCTATCACTAGTTCTTTCCTCCATTATCTGTCTTTACATAGAGATTGGATCTTTCCTTCCTTCCTTCCTTCCTTCCTTCCTTCCTTCCTTCCTTCCTTCCTTCCTTCCTTCCTTCCTCTCTCTCTCTCTTCCTCTCTCCTCCAAATGGCCTATCAAAGCAAGGCCCAATAGTTAAAAACTTCCTGCCCCCTCCAATTATGCAGCAGTGTAGGTTAAATATGAGATTTTCTGCTTTTGTTTCAACGAGATCAACATGTTCTGACAAAATAAAAAACCCACACAACTTTATCAACCAACTACAGCAGAACCAACCCAATGTAAAGCATAACACAGCCATATACTAACAACATTTTAGAAACACCCAACAGACTATTACAACTACCTGGCATCACTGTAGGATACAAATCAACTAAAATCCTCCAAGTCATCCTAATTAAACCAAAAGCACCAAAAAACAGGAGTCATCTATAATATACAATGTAAGGACTGTAATAGCTACTATTAGGACAGACAAGCAAAAGACTAGAAGAGTGCATCCAACTAGTAATCAGATGACCTGAAAACTCCTTAACCTCACATCACATTGACAGACTCAACCATAGCTTCCACTGGGAAATTCTGAGCATCCTAGACCATGGGTCAGCAACCATGGCTCCGGAGCCGCATGCGGCTCTTTGAGCCTTCTCCTGCGGCTCCCAGCCTCCTCCGCCATTTGCAGAGAGAGAGACAGAGAGAGGCACTTGCACTTCCCTTCTCTCTCTCTCTCTCTCTCTCTCTCTCTCTCTCTCTCTCTCTCTCACACACACACACACACACACACACACACACACACACACACACACACACAGAGAGAGAGACACACTCTGTGGGGGAAGAGGACTGGCAGACCAAGGACAGGAGAGAGCTTGTCAGCTTGTCGGAGAACAACGTGAAGCCAGCTTGCCAGGTGAGCAAAAGATCGGAGAGAGGGAGAGAGAGGGAGGGAGAGAGAGGGAGAGAACTCATGCACATCAGTCTCTATTTCTTTTTAATTAAACTCTTCAATCAAGCTTCCCTTCTTTGCGTGCGCACGCATGCGCACATTTTACGGCTCCCAGTGTTTTCTTTTCTCTGGGAAACGGGTCCAAGTGGCTCTTTGAGTGTTTAAGGTTGCCGACCCCTGTCCTAGACCAAGCTAAATCCAAAATTCTTGGAATTCTTGGAAGCTTGATATTCAGCCAAATTAGCTATCACATTTGCACATCATTCAAGAGAGACAATAAAAAGCTAAGAAAGAAAGAAAAAGACCAGAACACATTCTCTCCAGCATCCAATAGTCAGATAATCAGGGATTAATACCAGACAAACAAGCAGAAAACAATATCCTAATCAAGTAACTACCAAGTAGAAAATGACACTCACTAGTACTGATGATATTACCTAACCACACTGATGTTACCTAATGCAGAAATATCTGCAAGCAAACAACCAAGCTTGGAGAACAACAAAGACTTCAAATTTCAACTCTGGCCTATATATATTTTCTCCTATTTAAATTAAAAAAGCCATTCTATTGATTCAACCCTGATTTATTATTATTATTTTTTAAAAAAATAACCCTTTATTGCCAGGGAAGAATACTTGAAAAAGATGGAACAATATTATTGAAGTCACCAGGAACTCTTAATTTTTAAATGTTCTGTAAATTCTTTATTTCTCCCCTTGGTATTTTTTTCCAGTGTTCCTACAAGATATCTATTTCTATTTCAGTTTCTTTGGGTTGAGCATTACTGTCTTCTTCATCTTGCAAATGCTGCTAGAAGATTTTTTTTCATAGACAAAGAAACTGTGCAAAACTATGCATGCTTACTTGGAACTACTGTATGTCACATTATGGTTAATGGGGCTTAGATCCTAGTGTGTTTCCCAGTCTTTAGATCCTAGTGTGTATCCCAGTCTTTAATTCTAAACCTATATTTCAAATCTGTGTGGAATAAATGCCAAAATCCCCCCCCCCAGATCTTGACTGTATTTTTAAAGCCTCCCAACACATTACTGCTATTGCATTCAAGCATTGTTCTCAATGCAAAATAGTCCTTGGAAAATTATACATTATAAAATCATATAAAACTTACAATTCTATTTATTCCTATTTTACTAATTCCTGTATTGAATTAGCTTCAGAGCAAAGTGAACTTTATTATACAGTATTTTATTATTTTGATAAAGTAATAATTGCAATCTCATTCATGTATGAGTAGAAAAATATATTAACTTTATTTAGATTGTAATCTTTTACAGGTTTCTCCAGGAGAAAAATTGTTGAAATGAATGGAGCTTATTCATGAGATTGAACTCAATTACCAAAAGAAATAGTGGCAAACAATGCTATAGAATCATATTATATCTAACCAGGACTGGAAAATGTACAGAATGTAATAAAATATTCTCACCTTGACACTAATACTATCCTGAAGTATTTGAACCTATTGTTACTATTCCCTTGATAATAGGAACTATTGCTGTTGGTTTAATATGTTGTTATTTGGATATTTTGAGTTCTTTCTAAAATGTTTAGATATACAAAATTTAAATTAGAAATAAAACATTTCAATTAACCTGAAAAATCCAGGTGATAGTGATTTTCATTGAATAAATTTTCCTCCTTTGTACTCCAGCTTTTTTCTCAATACAAAATGTTTTTATTTTGCATATATTTTTATTTATGTAGTTTAACATTTTATATAATCTCTCTCTCTGTATATATATATACACACACACACACACACATTCATAAACAAGTGAACAAGTGTGTGTTCAATTTTACTAAGTTACTTGGAATTTGCTGCCCTGTGAGTATGCTTAGAATTCCACCTTTATTTTATTAAAATAAATAGGAAATATGCAGCTTTAGTCTAAGTGGTTTTTAGTGATGACACTAATGATAATGACTATTTGGATACAATAAAATTCAATAGTTACTGAAGCTTGAGTTATACTCAAGAGAGATAAGAAAGTTATCTCTCTTCCCTATTCAACAAAAATTAGAATGCCTACCTGGTAACCAAAGGTGTTGTTTTGTGATCCATGACGCGGAACACCGGGGTTTTCACAGGCTGTCCGAGTAGGTTCTTTGTCCAAAAATAAAAAAAGTATGTGAAATAAAATAGTTTTTTTAAAAAAAAAACTTACATTCATTTATACCCAAATGCTTCCAAACAGTTTTTGGAAGTGCCAACATTTCAATGAGTTTGAATATTGAAACTCGTATTTCATAAAATACTAATGCAAGGTTTAGACTGCTGCTTAAATGTGAACACAAATGCTTTACCCTTTGATTCCTTATCTTTCATTCCTTATGCTTATTTATTGGATGTGAAAATTGTCCCAATAAAGCTATGCAATGCTAAAAAGACAACAGGCCAAATTCTGCATCTCCAGTGGTAAATTTCCTTCCCTGCTTGAATGTCCACAAAGAACAATTTATATAAAAATCTTTTCATAGTAATACAGAGGCCCTATAATCAATCTAATGGATATCCCTGCAGTCCTGCTTAGAATGAATTCACTAACTGGGGCTTAGGTTAGTCACAGGTTATTAGTCATAATCTGATTTCAGTGGACCTGTTTAAAGCATTACCAAATTTGTATTCCATTCTAAATGCCACAGTGCATAAGAACCTGCTCCTTGGTAAGATTGCAATTTTGCACTGAAGATGCAATTATATATCCTGTTATATGTTATGGAAGAGCAGGATGCTTAGAAAAATTGCATGCACCTGTGCTCCTATCTGGGCCCTGTCCCCAGTGTCAGCAAGGCAGAGTTGCCAATACTGCTTCAACCTTGAAACAGGTGTGAGAGGAGACGTGTGTTTTGGAAGCTCTGCAACCACCAGCAAACAGAGTAAAGCAGCCAGGTTTTTTTTTTAAAAAAAAGGAGAGATGTTTTTCCTTCAAAGGGAGTAAATGGTCCAAATGAGAACAGCCACAGCAAAAACAGAAGTGTGTTAAGGAAAAGTAAAAATATAAAAACACAATGTAGAAAGTTGAAAGTATTCTACATGCTGGCCAATACCAGAGTAGAAAAAAGACACAAGAAATTTCAGAGATAAAAATTAAGGCAGAATAGTATTTTAAGAAGTAAATATATAGTGGAATTACTACACAGTGCAGTTTTGTAATAGAAACCACTCACATACAGTCTTCTAAGTTTCATAATTCATCTTTGTAGCTTGAATTTTTTTAAATTAAAAAATATCCCAAACTCTAGAGCCCAGAACACATGTGTAGTACAAACTTTCTGTTAGTTGGGGTATTGAATACTTTTAGCCTGTTGAATTATAGCTCTCCAATTGTTGAAAAACCACACTAAGAATCCTTTTAGCAATGTAGAATGGCTCCAAAAGTATGTACATATGAGGGCGGGAATTGAATTTTCCCTGTATACATAGTTCTAGACTTATAACTATAATTCAGACTGGTCATAAGTCATGGCAGTCATTAAATGGCATACCATGTGACCAATTTTACAACTTTGTTTTCCTCAGTCATTAAGCAACTCCCCTCTTTGCTTAATGACAGATCATCAAGCAAATGCCGAGTTGTTAAGTGAATCCTTTATACCCAATGGGTTTTTTTTTGTCAGAAACAGGAAGTAAACATTGGAAACCAGGAAAAATACCACAAAATGATGGTCACAAAAACAGGGGATACTGCAAAGGGTTATAAATACAAGCTGGTTGCCAAGCAGTACAAGACTGCAGTGGGTTAAAAGTAACTCTGGGAAGACCACTGTAACTTTTAAAAGTCACTAAGAAAATGTGTGTTAAAGGACTACTAGTTGTACAAAGGTGCCTGATGAAAACAATTGGCTAGTTGCAATCCTACATCCACTTAAACAATAAACCCGAGAATACAGTAGCATATGACTATTTAAGACTGCACTGTAAGGAAAGAGTGTAAAACATTGTTTTTAATTGGGGTCATTTTAAAACATGTGGGCTTCAACTTCCAGAATTCTAAAACCAGCATCATGGTTTGATGACTCCCCCAGATGCATCTCCAAATACTTCTCCAGATGTCAGTTTGGAGGAGGACGAACCAGTCCCAGACACATCAGGATTGGAGTTGGTCAATGGTTCCAAGCAGCCGGCTGAGAGTGATTTGGCTGAAGCACAGCTGCAGCAGGACAACCCTGAAACTTCAAGTGGGGAAGCATGCAGCTGCATCTGATTAGTGATGATGATGACAAGTTGCTTTCTGCACCTGATCAAGAACATGTAGGGCAGAGAAAAGGCAGGCACAGTGAAGGTCATCCCAATTATTTGTGAGGAGGCAGCCTTGTCCCTTTTGATGGGCTCCACCAGAAGCTGGCTATTTAGCATAATAGACAGATGGAGACAATGCTGGGAACATGTTCATTTTCTAGCTGTGTGTTTCCTGGTCATTGTGATTCCTGCCTTGCTTTGGATTGACACCATGCCTTGACTTTGGATTGTGCCTTCTGAACTCTGGACTTTTCTTTTCTCTTGAATCCTCTTGTGTTGTAGATTTAATTTTCCCTGGTATATTTCTCTTGTTTGGGAAACTTTGTTTCTGTATATTAGCATTGGTCTGCTTTTGCCTGGGCTAGTTCTGGGCTTTGGTAAATGGAATTGCTATGGAACATTAATAAACCTACTAAAACACTGTTATGTTTGCATTCAGACTGAGCAGGACAGCACACATGAACAGAGAATTCTAGCAGTTGAAGTCCACACAACTTAAACACTGTTGTAATTTTTTTTTTTAAAAAAAAAACACCAATATAACAAGCTACCAATTAGGAAAGATGCCACCATACCTATACAACGTGGAGATGATCCGCTCCATGTACCATCTGCTTGACATATGCGAGTGCTGGAACCAACCAACACAAATGGAGGATTACAACTGAAAGAGACTTCTGATTGATAAATAAAGCTTTTGCCTTCCCGTTTGCCTTGAGCAGGTACTCCTGGGTCACCGCAAAACTTTGCTGTAGAAAAAGAAATACGTGGAAAATATATTGATATTTCTTTTTAGGTGGATATACTTGTATCTGGTGAAAAACAGAAAGCTTGAAGCCTTTTATAATCATAAAAAATCTGCTCTAAAATAAGAAGTGGAAATGCAGTATGTACTGTACTTATATACCTACAGAAGGTATAAATATAAATCATATTCTTAAGATAGAAAGGGCTAAATCTTACTTGTTTTTTTCTATGTAAATATCAAAAGCTAATAGTCAATATGCAGAAGGTCCAACATTCTTTTATTTCATTGTCAACTGTATTAACAAGGGCAGAGACGTTCAAGAAAATATTTAAAACATTTCTTAAACAAATATCACACATATTTTTTTTTACTATTTGATTATTGCTTTAATAAGAGAATATCTGGAGGAATTACATCATGCATTGATATTCTTCAGCCTTTTTCTAGCCACTTTCTATTATTGGATGCTTAGTAATTCTTTGAGTATGTAACCATAGAAACTAGACATCATGGCAATGCACATCAGTCTTGTTCTCCCCTCAGACCTTGGAAACTGTGCAGAGAAAATGCTACTCTTTGTAGTAGAATAAGTCATGGGGTCTTCCTTGTCAGCAGTACTTATACTTTGGTATTTCCAATAACATCTTAACTGTAAGTACAAAAGAAAATTAATCAGGCATCTGTTTTATGTCACTTAACATTAACTGGGAAGATTGTATTGAATTTGACCAGAGCAACTGAGCAATGAGGAAGAATTATTCTGCTCAAAGAATTATAAAACTGAGAAGGTAGGCCTGAAACGTGGCTGAAGACATAGTCCAATTCAGGCAGATTAACCCTGATTTTGCAGTAATGTAAAATAGATAACATTTGATTAGAATATCTGGAGATACAATTATATTTATTTGTTTCATTAGTGTGTTCCTTTCCAAAGAATACCTCTACAAATCTCACTGCAGTAAAAGATAACAATAAAAATAAGGTAACATACAATGTTGAACCTTTTAGATATAAATAAGAGCAAAATTTGGCCTATTCATTTATTTAATGCATTGATTTACATAGCCACCCATTCCGGTGTGCATTTATATGATAGTGATCAAAGTAGTTTTATTTCACTTGCATTAGCTATCATAATGTAGGAAGCATTTATAGATATGATAATTAAGACCTCTTCCCATAAAACTGAATATGCACTCTTCATCTGAAATGTGCCTAAGAATCTTGTTCATAGTTTTGATATGCACCACTAACCTATTCTATCTTTCTAAATGGGTTGCTCCATTACATCTAAAATCATTGATACATAGTAGATTAAAAGGGAAAAATAAAATATCCTATGAAAAAGTCCTATGCTCTTATTTCACAGTGGTGAGTCAACTGACAATGGGAAGTTACATTCTCAATGAATACAGTATGAGTGAAATTGAAAACAAGACTCAGATTATATAAGGTCAATATGGTATTGTCCTTAAAATATTGGCTTTGGGTTTGACAAGGGCCAGGTGTGAATTCATTGCAGAACATACTTAAAGACTTTGACCCCTTATTATGTGTCTCAGCCCATCCTATCTCATGGAGTTCTTCTAAAGGAGTCATAATCAGCAAAGGCCAACATCTGCATCATTTCAAGATCCTCCCAAAAAGGCAAGCTATTAATGCAATAATTAGATTTCAGTAGAATAATTCTATTCTAAAATATAACTGTTTTATGTGAATCTAATGGCAAATTTTACAGCTGTAATTTAAAGTCTTCCTATTAGTGACCAAGACCAAAATAATGATTTGGGTTGATAACTGGAGAGGGGGAAAGGACAATACAATGGCATATTCCTTCAGTTGTGAATTACATAAATGTTTCTCCCTCTCGACTTTTGCTATTCCATACTTGCTCCCATATTCCAGATGTTATAACAAACAAAGACATATTTTGGAGAAAAATTGCAGTATCTAGGGGGGGATGACGAATTCTTTAACCACTTCACTTCTGAAACATATTCATTAATAATAATCATTAACAACTGTGGCAAAAGAAATCAAAGGTAGTACCAATAATAACAGCTGCCTTGGGCGCAGTCCCAACACCGCTTGAACATTAAGCATTAAGCATTGACAAATTCACCATCAGTCAATTGCAAAAGGCAATTTTACATTCTGTGACGATGCCTCTAACACCATAAACCATCCACATCTGCCTATCCCAGGTCCTTGGGAAGGACTCGATAGTAAATAAAAATGCCAATCCAGTCTAAACATTCTGGCTGACTGCGACAAACCATTTATATGTCATCTGACTCCTAGTGAGTCTGATAAGTTTACAAATTGTTAATAACATGTAGAACAAAAGAATACAAAAAAAGAACAGAGATGCCAGAGATAAAAAAAAACTCAGACAGGACAGAGGAAAAGAAAAAGAAAAGGGGGGTTCAATCATGACAGGCTAATTCAGGATCCTTGGATACATCAGTAGAATGGGACTGTTGGAATCTCAGGCAGAACTACAGAAAGGTTGGCTTCCGGGATCTACCAGGATCCTGGAAGCCAACTTTTTTTATAGTTCTGCCTGAGATTCCAACAGCCCCAAGCTACTGTTGTTTAATAGAAGGAATCTTCAAGTAATCAGGCCTATGCTAAGAGCCTTATAGGTAATGACCAGTACTTTGAATTGCACCTGGAAGCATACTGGAAAACCAACACAGCTCATTAAGTAGAGGTGTTACATGGGGACACTGAGACAGGACCACCATTGCCTAGCCCCATGTAGAGTGCATTGCAGTAGTCAAGCCATTAGGTGATCAAGACATGAGTTATTAGCAAAGTCTAGTGTTGCTCTTGTAGTCTTGGTGATGGGCATGTTTGTGAAACAATTGTACAACTAAAACACAGACTGAAAAATCCTAATATTTGATTAAGTGTAGAAGAAGTGTTTTGGACAGCTTGAGAAATGAATTCAGAGGTCATGCTTTCTGCTTCCTCCATCTTATAATTTCATACTTCAATGTTCTCTTCCTCCTTTATCTGGTCAAACAGAGCTTTTCCTTCTGCTCTGTTAATTAATGATCCCATGACTTCTTCTGTTATTCAGCCACCACAAGCACATTTTGCTTGCAATTCCAGCTATAAAAAATTAACTGCCAATAAGGTACAATGAAATATGACCTCAGTTCACTAACAGACTGTATAAACACTTATTATGATAATAACTAAAACATGAAAGAGCTTTAAACCCTCAAAAGATCTAATCATCTTGCCATCACAAATCATATCAAATAGGAAGATCTTGAAGCAATTGGAAAATATTACAAGATTTAGGAAAGTGATCAAGGTTTGTGAGTAAAATCTTGTCAAGTAAAATCAATGGGTTTTAATCCATTAATCAAAATGCAACATTTCTACATTATATAGTACCATTGAAATTTTGAATGTGAAAACATTACAATTTTATTCAATTTTATTTGTGAAGTTTTTTTCTTTACTATGAAACAAGAAGAATCATTCATCTCCTCTTTGATAATCCATTTAATTTATTCTGTTAAAATTTAATACTTTTTTCAACAGCAAAAATAAAAAAAATATTCACAAAATGTTCTGTAAAAAGTCAGCATACATTAGTTATTGTAATGAAATCTGCAGCTATGCAAAATCCATCAGTGTCACCAATTTTATGCTAATAAAAACTTCTGCATAAATTGGTAATTTAATATAATACTGGAACAAAAGTCCAATTGTCAGAGAGACAGGCTAGAGTTTCTTCTGTATTCCTGACAGCCACAATAAAAATATCTAGAATTTTGCCTGGTTAAAACATCTACATTCAAATTAATTCTTGTTGACATTTTTGTCAAGTTTGACAAACTTGCTTTAGGTATTTCAAGTATTATATGAGACAAAATATTCCTTCCTCTACAATTTCACAAAAAACTAGGGATATGAGTGATTGTTTTCTCCTTCACTAATTAAGATAAAATATCACCCTAAACCGTATCCTTTTTTTTCAGGAGGACCATCTTGAGACTAGAAAAAGTCCCATTGGCCACAGAGATTTTTTTTTCCTGAATGATCACAGGCTTGTTTAGTTCTGACAAGTCAGAACAAGTCAACATGCCTATTATCTGCGCATCAAAATTTAAGATAATTTTAAATATGATGCAGTGTTGAACATTCAGGAAAATAAGGGTGTATCAGCATATCAAGGAAATGTTTCTGTAGTAATAGCAGTCACTAGAAAATTCACCTTTTGATTACATTATTCATGAAAAATGGGACTTTTTCCCGCAATTTGGTACAGTGGTCCAAGCACAAAGCTAAATACCATGATACCATAAGTTTTAGTCTTGCCTTAGGCATGAAACCAGAAGGATAATTTTGAGCCAGTCATTCTCCCCTTAACCCTAGGAAAAAGGTAATGACAAGCCAGTTCAAAAAAATCTTGCCAAGAAAACTGCAGGATCTTCTCCAGGTGATTGCTAGAAGTCAATACTGACTTGAAGAAACAAAAACAAACAAAGAAACAACCAGAACCAGTTAATTGTCGCTTCAGCTGACAACTGCCTGAATAAACTGTTTAACTGGAGTTAAGATCTTTAAGGGGAAAAAAGACTAGAACACAAAGAGGAAAGTGATCACAAGCACTTGTGTGATCACTGCAATTTGCCCCTTATTTTGTAATGGATATTAAAGGACATTGCAGTTTTGTTGGATTTGTGTATGTGGTAAAAGTAAAGGAGTCCCTGTGGGTTTTACTTCACTTCTTGTAGCAGACTTTAGGGGGCAATGCTCATCTCCATTTCTTTAGGCCATTGAGCCAGTGCTGTTCAAAGACATTTCCATGATGATGTGACCAGCATGCCACAATGCAGTGTGTTCAGTGAAATATGATGTACTGTTACCTTCCCACTGAAGTGGTACCTATTTATCTACTTGCTCACTCTGTCATGCGATAGTGGAACTCAAACCACCAGAGCATAGACCTTTTCTGGTGTCTTTTAAGTCACTGAGCCACCGTACCTCACTGGGCATGTGGAGGAAACATTTCAGTTATTTTTTTGCATATATCTACAGTTTTTCTTTTGTTAGTTTTCCTTTAAGGTTAAATGGAAACAACTATTAGCCTGGAATGCAAATATATTTTAAAAAATACTTACGTAAGCACTGTGGGACTTCACCACTCCATGTTCCGTTCCCAACACAAGTCAAAACAGCAGGAAATGATAATTCATAGCCAGGTGAACAGACATAACTAATGCTAAATCCCCAATCAAAATTTATTCCTTCTTGTTTTCCATTAGAAATCTGGGGTGGAGTTGGACAGGTAACAGCTGTAACAACATTTAGAGTCATTAGCACAGCAGCTGCAGCAATGTCCCCTGTGTCTATACTGACTAGGAGAACCATATGTGCTAATTAAACTTTTTTTTAAAGGGTTGCTGGATTTTATTTTATTTTATTTTATTTTTTGCTTTAATGTGCAAATCATATTTTTTTGCTTAAATGTTATGAAATGTTTATTTTCACATCCTTTTGCCATTTTGGTGGGTATTTTCACTGGAAATTATGGGAGTTGCAATCACATACATAAGGAAAAGGACTTGGGAAGGACTGTTTCTTTAGCTCTTTATTTTGAGATACATAACCAGTAGCTAAAAACAAATAATCACAATTTCAATACTAAAGACAGGTTAAGATATGAAAAGTTAATAGAAGTTAATTTTATAATCTCATCTGAAATAGCATATCTCTATGTCACTCTGCAGAACACTATTTGAATTATGAAGGACATGCTATAGATATTGGTAAGGATGCAATTAGATATAATTCTGAATATTCAGGAAATAAGGATGAAGGAACTAGAAAGGACTTCTTATCTGTCCCTTTTCCTATGTCAGTGATCTTCCCAGCATGCCCAAATTCTTGTCCACCCTCTGCAGCTGTTCCCTGCTTGCTTTTGCAGTAACCTTCCTAGCATGGCCATCTTTTGGACCACCCTCTGTGGCTGTCCCTCACTTTTCTTTTGTAGCACACCAAGTTCCCAACAAAGATGAGTAGCAGGCCACATTTTTGCATCAAAATGCATTGAGTGTCAAATTTGATGAGTTTTTAAGCAGTCAAGTACCAAGGTACTATTGTAAAAACATATCTCTCTGTAATGGTACTTGGGAATCACCTTGGGGAACACTGGGAAGACCACAGCCAGAAGATTGGTTGGATAAAAAGCAGCTTAGCCACAGAAAGAATGTAGATGGGAGGAGAAATGTACTTTGAAACTGGCAAGATTATGTTAATGTAATCTTAGAATAAAGTGGAATTAGTTTATCTATGTGTGCTTTCTGTCTGGGCAACTTTGCAAGGCCAACATCAACCTTGCAAGTCTAAAAGTACATTTCACTCTTATTGCCTTTACAACCCAAAGAATTAGGGAGGGATCCTTCTGAGATGTTTGCCATATCCACATTCCTTTGGTGGCCTAAAATGCCTTTTAACCAACTGCTCATCTAGTTGTGACTCTCCCTTCCAAGGTCATTCCCCAATGCCATTACATTCTTTCTCTCCCTCTCTCCCTCTCTCCATCCATCCATCCATCCATCCATCCATCCATCCATTTATTCAGTTTCAAAGCAATACCTTTACAAGTTGGCAGCATTCCACTCCATGTGCCATTAGTAGTGCAAGTACGAATTTTGGAACTGTTGGCTTCCATTGTGTACCCAGGTTGACACATATAAGTAACATTTTGTCCAACTACATAATCATCCCCGTATCTCAATCCATTGGCTGGTATTCCTGGATCTCCACAAATGATTACTATGAAGGGAAACAAATTGAAGATGTAATTATATGACAAAGGTTTTCTTCATTTTAGAAGGTGAACAATGTAGAATAATATTATAATGTGATATCTATGGCAGCTTCCTTTGTGTAGCAGCCTTTATAAGCAGAGTTTATCACATTAGGTGACATTTGTTACTAATTACAGAATCCACTTGTCAAGGAATTAAGACACCAACTTTCATTTCCACTTTTCTAACTTTGTGAAGCTTGAATTAAGACAGTCTTATAATAAAATGGCAGGATTCTGGATACTGATTCACAATGGCAAGTTGCTGCTATTGGGAAACTGCCAGCTAGGCTGGAAGGGGAGGTCAAGCTTATGCCTCTTGTGGCTCTGCAAGGATTCTAAGCTAAGTCCATGCTTGACTCACACCCCCTCTTCCAGCATAGCTGGCAGTTTCCCAACAGCTGCTACCAAAAAGGTCCTATCTTACGTACCCACCATCTTTTGTATCAAGATGGTGGGCCAATAAAACAGGATCTTCTTTTTTTTCTCTTAGCATCCCAGATACTATATACTGACTTGAAAAGAGAAGAAAATTCTATTTAGCAAAAGACAGAAATTTGTGTGAGTTGTGGACTTTACAGATTGCTTGAACAATTTCAGGAGATTGTACCTTAGTGTTTGACTTAATATGTAAGGACAAAAATATTTAATCTTCCAACCCAAAAAAGAACTCACTGAGAAAGTGGGTAAAGGCTGCAGTCTTGTCTAATGATTCCAGGAAATCTGAATCTGGTAGACCCAGTGACAGGTGTACATTTTTAGCCCAAATGTGCACATGTGATGTGAGGCAGCGGGGCCAGGAATTGCTTAGGCATATTTACATAGTTGTACATTGACACTGAGGTAGAGTTCCTTTCATTCTAATTCCACCCACACATCAGAAATAACATATAATTACAGTAAGAGGGCAGTAATATTCTTTCTATTTTTGCCATGAAACATATTGATTATGTGCCATCAAGGCAGTGTTGACTTTCAATGACTGCATGATACTTATATCTGCTGCCGTAAATCCTCACCCATCATTGCTGTCATTAGTCACTCAGGTCAGCCATTATATTGAGTGCTGAAAATCTCAGCGCTATTAACACTTTCAGACTAATGACAGAGAGGACCACTCTTTCAAAAATGGGGGTCAAGTGGGTAAAGATAAAAACATAGGAAAAATGGGGGGAAAGGGCAAGGAATACTGGAGATGCATCATGAGTTACACATTAAGAGTCTGATGGATGCATCGGGTCTCCAAGCTGTATGTCTCCTCTATGTAGAAAAGCTATGACAACATCATTGGTTTGCATGGGAAAATCTTGAATGGAAAAAAAGAAGCTAAATCTTCAACAGGGATGATTCTAGCACCATCTTGCTCCCTCTCTCCAATATGACTTTCTCCAAATATAGAAGCTGTAAGTGGTGTCCTAACATTGTAATAATAGTAGGAACAATGGATACTTGCTTGTACAATTTGGCAAGGAACCAGACCATGTCCCATTGGCAGTGCATTGTCGTACAGAAGGTCCAGACAGAATATAGCCTTCCATGCAGGAATAAATCACAGAACTGGAGAATGTTGTGCCATCAATTTGAAACACTTTCCCATTAGCTGTTGTTCCAGGGTTACCACACTGAACAGCTTGAACAGTCAGTGTGAAAATGCCAGAATTGGGAAGGAAAACAAACACAGAGAACAATTACTTAGCAACTTAAATAATTGAAGTTGCAAATAACAATCCAATCTACTCATTAAAAAATAGTTTACATCAAGGAGGTAAAAATCCTTCATTTTAATGACATCAATCTTGCCCAAATGCTTTGAGTTTCCTCCCAAATCTTCATATATTCAGTTGAAATGGAGCCTTCCTTTAATTTTCCTTGACTGAAATATGGTTGCAGTTTTCAGAATACCATAAATATTCCTCCATATAATTTCCTATATAGTTTGAATTCAAATGCTGAAGTATAGTTCAGAATTTGTGGCTTTTCATGAAAATATTCTCAGCTTTTATCTATTGTTGAAAATACTAAAGTTTGCTTTTATCAGCTTATTTTTTTATATCAAATGTTATCACTTTTTTTCCTGATCATTTACAGCTTCTAAGCAAGAAAGTGAGTATTCTGAAAAATAAATAAATTATTCAGTATACAGCTACAGGGCACAAAGCCCTGTACATTTTTATTGTACACTAGCGTACTAATGGCTACCTATTGAAAATCTTTTTTTTTACATAAATAATCTTTTTTTTTACTTTAACAAACCCACTCATACAATTCAACTTTGGTAAACATTTAGAAAGCAAGTCTCTAATAACACCCAGCATGATCGCACTCTCTTATCTATGGCTTGGTTCATGAAATTATTTTATTTTAAGAATTCTAGCCAACTTGAAAAATTCCATGTAGAATAGTCCATTTTCAAAACTCAAACATCTTTTTTATTTATTTACTTTTGTGTGTGTGTTGTGATTCAGTATTTTCAGGCCATTTTGACACATACATGTGTCTGTATGTATATATGCATATGTGTAAACTCTCCATCACGTGGATAAAATATTTACCCCTGCCTCAGACATCATGATACAAATAAATAATTGCATCATTTGTTTAGTGAAGGCATGCTGCGCTTATAATTTTGAAATCACTGTGGCTCATTATGGACTCCCATCTTCTAGTTAATATAAAATTGTAATTTAAATATACACCATAGTAATTGATTTTTGTGAAAAGTGAAGGCTCTTATCACTTACCATATTTACAATTCTAGCCATGTTTTGCAAGTAGTACACAACTATTTAATACACAAATTTATTTAAAATAAACAAATCTGTATTACTCCCTACACATCCCTGTAAGGTACATGATTATTTCTGCTGGTGGTGCTCAAATGTTACTTTAAAAAATCCTAAAACCAAATTGTTTTGTTGTACTCAGATGTTTGTGTCCCATCAAACACTAATTACTGTTCAAATTCTTTGAAACAAATGATATTCCCACCCCGAATACAATGGTGGCAAATGCTATCAATGTCAATCTCACATGAATTTTAGTTTGTATAAAATGTGCTGATTTTAAGAGGGCAGCCAAGACACTAACAATAGTATCAAAGGGAATCTCATGGAAAACTTGTGAAAAAAAATTACAGATAAAACAGCATCATTCTAGGAAGGATATTTACAAAAAAACAAAACAAACTATGCAAGTGCTAGCTATATCTAAATAAAAAAGTGTACTATAGCACAGAAAGTTGTTTAAAGCAGAGAGCATACATTGTTTTGCATAAATTACATAAAACAGCAATCAAATGTATATATATTGAGAAAACAGAACTTCAAATATGCCAATGAAAGGAGTTTATTTCCTAGTTGGTAAAAAAAAAATACAGGAATGGAAAAAAATGGAAGGACAGTCATTGTCCAACACTGAATTTAGAAGGACAATGCCAAATACTGGCTTTTTCAAGATGGCAGGATAGAACTTGGTCACTGAAGTAGAAAAACTTATATTAGCGGTCTTTGTGCTGTGTCATGGACTGGAGGAATTAATTTAATTGTGATTGTGACAAAAAGAAAAGAAAAAATCCTTAGTGTTACTGACAACTGTAACTCTGAATTGGGTTCTACCTCTAGGAAAGAGAATATAATTTGTATATAGACATATTCAAATTCAGTTTCTAGCATCTCTATGAGAAGTATATTTCCCTGCTCATCATGACAGACAATTCTATATTAGGAAAACAAATAATCTGCTTTATTAGAAGGCCACTTCTCCTGTTCCTATACTTTTTCGTAGAAATTATACACTGTATATTGTGTAGCAATTTAGAAGACCAACAACTAAGCTCAGAGAGCACAAGGATTTCACAGAGTTGTGATCATATTTAAAAAGTAAGGTAGGATTTTTAATTTACTTCAGGATAAATTCCACTATAGATACTTTCCATGGGAAACACACAAATACAACTGCTTTCATTGCTTTAAGTCATGGGTGTCCAACCTTTTGGCTTGCCTAGCATGCATTATGTGAAGAGAAATTGTCTTGGGCCACATGTAACATATATAATATAGTTAATGTATATAAATATTTCTAAAAATTACATAATGTTAAAAGTTTACAATCTTGTGAGGCCACGTTACTAGCTGTCCAGGGCAAGATGGGATCCACAGACCATGGATTGCACACAGTTGTTTTAAGTTAATCAAAACCATATGCTACATAACATGTGGTAACACCTGAAACATGTATGAGAAAGACTGTAAAGCAGGAGTCCCTACTTAATCTCACAAAACCAAAATGACAAAATGTGCAGAATGACATAACTTTTGAACTTGAATCATGATATTGCATGCAAATATCATCAAGGTTGCACCTTTCATCATTTCATTTCCTTCCTTTCCCCCAAATGTCCATGAATAGGATAGAGGACAGATAAGTCACTGGATAGATAGACAGTAGAGAGACAAAATTTAAATTAAGTGCAACTGGACGATTTGCCAGTTTCTGGTATTCAGTCTTCAGATTCTTAGTCTCCAACATATGACTGAAACAGGTCTAGGACAACTCACCCCGGCTAACTCAATCCACCCAACTTGCCATGGGACAACTTGCCATGGGACAATTCAACACAGGATAACTCAAGAGAGGGACAAGTAGAATTGCAGCTCACTCCAGCCTCGAGGACTTCTAATTTGAGAAGGTTCAAATTTAAAGAAGACAAGGCCTGCTGCAATTCGCTTGTCCTTCTCTTGACTATGTCACGTTGTATTGTTTGGCAGTGAATTGTCTTGTGGTGAGCTGTCCCATTACAAGTTGTCCTGTGATGAATTGGCTGTGGCAAGTCAGCCATGACCAGTCAGCTGCGGTAAGTTGTCCCATTCTGGACTGAAACTGTTGGAAGTATCCTAGGATTTGGTGCCCTTAGAATACAATTTTAGGGGAATGAGGGCAATATATGCAGATAATTGATTTCAGATATATGATGACTTTATTAAAACTTTTTTGTAGTGATTTTAAAACAAATATTCCAATATAGTTATGAAAATAATTTACCTTTACATTCTGGTTGCCTTCCTGTCCAACTTCCATTTGCCAAACAAGTTCTTTCCTCTGATCCATGAAGGATGTAACCAAGCTCACAAGAGAATTGTACAACACTTTTAGTTCTAAAATTAGTTTGTTCTCTAGCACCATGGCCTGGGATTCCTGGATCCCCACAAGTCCCTGCCGTGTCACCTGGAATAAAAAAAAAAGATCATTTGGGGTAGAATACTTAGGGTTACATTGTTTTGGTCCTGCTATAGGAACCTGAAACAAGAGGAATCAATTTATAATCAGTAGGCTCCAAAAAAAGTGGTGTCCATTCCAGACTTGGTAATTGTACGCTGACTTCCTCAATTTGGACCATATAGCACTCAGTCAAGACCATAGAAATTTCAAGTCCCTTATTTAATATTCTTGAAATATTTAAGAAAAAAACAAAATAAAACCAGTTCTCTGTTTCCATGGTATTTTTTAAAGCACTTCTCCAGTCCATGGTATTTTTTAAAGCACTTCTCCAGTCCAATTATAATTTAAGTCAGTAGCTGATCTAGTTTAGAACCAAATTATATTTATAAAGTTGTGGAACTTTCTCTTGGAGTTTCAAGCTTGTAAGTTATTACAAGCATTGTAAAATAAGGTGAAAGTTATTCCTACTTTTTTAGTTATATCTGAAATATTAGAAAAGATTCCATCTATACTGATGTAAAACAAAAGCACATTTATCTGCTTGACAGCCATTTGTCTGAAATGGTATAGGGTTTCCTGCCTGAGCAGGGGGTTGGACTAGATGACCTCCAAGGTCCCTTCCAACTTTACTACTACTACTACTACTACTACTACTACTACTACTACTACTACTACTACTACTACTATTATTATTATTATTATTATTATTATTATTATTATTATTATTATTATATCATATACAGTACTGTATAGGTAGCCCTTCTGATATTATTAGGTTATATAGTTTCCATCATATGACCTTCTTCTCTATTGTTGTATGATTAAATAATAGGATATAACAACAAAGCATGTTAGGATTCTTTAATACATATTAGTTTTGCCACAAGACCTGCTAGGATCACAAATCATAAGTTCCATGTGGATGATTAACCCACAGAAATTGCTTTGTGCTTTCTTGTTTATACTCAAATCTGTGCAATAAGTCACACCTTTGTGGACTTTTAATCTGAACAGATATTTATGGGATAGGCTGGGATTGTAGGCTGGGATGTTAACGCAAAAGGCCTAGCTGACTGCTTGTCTGCTGCATTTTGAGGCTTGTTCATCTCCCAAATCAGAAATAACAAATGAATCTATTTATTTCAAACAGATAACAGCGTAATAGCTGAGTTGTACTGTAGGCAAACAAAAACAGTATTAAATGGCATATTCATACACCTTAATTCCCTCCCTCACTGCATAATAATCATAAACCACAAAAAGTGGTTATTTAGGTTACATGACATATGGAAATATGAACCTTGTTCAGTCATTTTAATAACCATAACAAAGGATGCATGAATGACACTTCTAAGGTACATACATGTTACTACTTCAGTTACTTTGAGTACAATAAAAAATAATATCCCTAGCTAGGCTGTTGCCCTGAGTTATTTACACAAACAGGTGATATAAAAATAAACACATAAAAAAATCACTGAGCATCTCTCCAGAAAGCAGTCCTTTAATCAGATTTAAATGTGTTTAAATATTTGTTAAAATATTTTAAAGGCTTTATCAATTTAAATAATTGATTTAATGCAAAGCTTGCATCAACCCCTAGGGTGGATGCCAAGTTGGGTTTCATGAATGGCTCTGGAGAGAAGAACATGGCTTTCTTAATGCTTCATCTCTTCCTTTTTTAAAGTGACATTGTTTCTTCATGTTAAGGCCAATGATGGCATTTTTTTGATACAAGGCTCAAAAAAGAATTCAAGTGCAAAATGTATAAGGGGGAGGAAAAATTGAGAGGAAAATGCTGACAACCCCCCCTCCAAAAAAAAGCAGTGTATGATACTGAGTAGTTGTAGTAATTTTTCTTCAGAATAGCTTTTCTAAGTTTAATGGACATCAAAGTACTTTGATTGGTGTCATGACAAAAATGACAGAAGGGCAGAATCGAAACATTAATTTTAAAGACTTTTCTATACATATATATCTGTTAATCCCATCTTTATACTGCTGGGAATTTCTATCAGTTTACAACAATTTATACAATTAAAACTGTCACAACACATTTATTTAAGGGAAAGAGATTCAGCCTCCTTCAAGTTATGGGTTATGGTTCTGATATTGTTGCAGTTTTAAACAATACAACAAAGCACAGCTTTGCTTGTTATCTATACTATTAATTAAACTATATAGATTTCTATTTATTTAAAAGCTGTAGATACCCTTGTGGAATCTTAGTTTTTGATATGCCATGAATTGTAGACAGTTTTGAACATTCTTTTCCAGAAACTATTCCTACATGAGCTCAGCAGAAACAGTTATTACATGGATGAAGACTGTTGCTATGCAGCAATTATTCTTCAAATTAGATAAAAGCAAATGAAGGTACGGCAATAGTGATGCACAAATTACCCAAATGAAATGTAACATCCTTCCCAGTAATATGCAAAGGGAAGAGACTATACATATTCCTTACCTACTTTTCAATGTTCCTATGTTATTTGCTATTTTCCTTTTAGATGAGATGTTGTTTGAAATCTACCACTTCCTTTCTAGATTTGTGAGTCTATATGTGAGTGAGGGCATCTAATGTGAAACTTATATTTGATTAGAATTGTTTGTGATTTAAACACGGATTGATTTTAGAAGTCCTGAAAAGAAACAAGAGCAGCCACAAAAAACGCTGTATTAAATGGTTTCGAAAGCACATTCACATACTTTAAAAGTGGTACCTGAGCAATGAGGCATAGTTCCACTCCAGTGTCCATTTAATTGACATGTCCTGGATAAGTGGCCTATTAATGATCTCCTTCCTGCACAAGAATAATGAACAGCAGATCCAAATGTGTATTTCTCTCCAGAAAGGATCGCATTTGGAGGAATGCCAGGATGACCGCAGTCAATCACTACGATACATAAATATTGGAGATAAAAATTATGTTATAATCAGCCAACTAAATTCTTCAATATGCCAGCACACCATCAATATGTTTTACCAGTGATCAATATGGTATAATGATGATCTTATACAGTAGCCATGTTTTTCATATAATTCATAGAACAAATTGCTCATTATTACCAATGTATTCACTAACCTATAGCCATTCTCCCTCTGTGTGTGTGTGTGTGTATGTATACACACCTGTGTGTGTATATTCATTATATTCCAAACCTTTTAAAAATAAACAAAGAAATACTGTATGTAGACTCATCTGAATTTATAGAGAGTATCAGAATAATAGTTTCTTGTTATAGAGTATCCCCTTTTGAGATTATGTTGTGATCATGCACAAAACATTAGATTTTAGTATTAGGCTTGGACATTGAAAGATATCTTCTCCTATTCTGATTCTGGAAATAGAGCAGTTAAGAAATGGAAAGGTCAGTTTGAATAAGTCCTAGGAGTCAAGAGGTGTGCTTTGTGGAAAATATCATCCTGTAAATTCAGTTTTAAAAAGAACTGTTATAACATCGCTTTTGAATGAACTTAGGAATGACAAATATCTATGCAGCGATCAAGATCAATAGTATTATGGCCTTTAGAAATCAAATCTATCTCTGTGAAAACAGTTGGCTGATCAGTCCGATCAATTCTTCTTGTAAAGTGCTAGTCTAGACAAGAGTTGGTTTTCCAGCTAAGGTCCATTACTTTGGAATAATAATTCATTTTCCACTTCCCCCACAAGGTCAACATCCTTTTCATTTTTGTGGAGCTAAAGTCAGTCATCCCTCTCAAATCTGCTCAGTTGCCACATCATGGCAGAGGAAGGATGAACAAAGAGAACTGGTAACTCTCAGCAAGATCACCCAATATGTGAAGGCATTTTAGCTGCTTCACTAAAGCAAGCAGGCAACTGCTATATAGGAAGATGCCAGAAAAAGACACTAATTTTAGTGACACTGGGAAAAGGTTCATTTTATATTCCATAGAAGAAAGACAATGGCAAAACCACTCCTGCATTTTCCTATATCCAGGAAAACCACATGAAGAGGCAGTATAAAGTGATTGATGATATAGTGCCAGATGATAGTCCCTCGGGTCAAATGGTCTTCAACAAGCTACTGAGGAAGAGCTGAGGATGTTTTGGAGCACTAATCGTGTTTATAGTGCAGATAGATAAAAGCCTTTGGGACATCTGATTGTAGACATTGCCAGGTAGAAAAAGAAAATCTGAAGTAGCAAAGATAGGGTTACCTTGGGAATGTGAGACAATCTTTCTGGTAGCTGGATGATTGTTTTACAGCTAAATAAAATAAGTAAATGAACATAGGAAAATTCAGCATATGAAAAGCTGACTATACATTGATATCTTAGGCATCAGAAAAAACTCAGTGGATTGAACTGGGATAATTTTAGCCAGAAAATCATACTATTTACCAGTAGGACCTAAAAACAAACAAGGAATGCTCCTGCTTTCATAGTCAATAAAAAAAAATAGCAAGTACCTGCTTGGGTACAATGCAATGGGTGACTGAATAATATGAATTGTACCTTGTGGACATCTTTTTAATAGGACAATTGTCCAAGTTTATGTGCCCGCTACTGATGACTTTTATGATCAAGTTTGAATTTCATAAAACATGCAAGCAAGATGTGCTACTTATGGTTCAAGACTAGAATGCCAAAGTTGGAAAGAGTAAGGAGGAAAAAAGTGGTTAGTCTATATGGACTAGGAACCAAAATGAAGCAGGAGATCAACATCCTAGTTTCTACCAATCCAATTATTTCTTCATTGCAAGCACAGTTTTCAAACAATGATACTTATATACAGTACATGGACTGTAGGAGATGAACTATACAGAAATCAGATAGACTATATTATTGTTACAAGAAGGTGGTAAAGCTCAAAGATAATAGCAAGGAGCTGCCCTGCACTAACTGAGGAACCCATCGTGAGTACATATTTTTGATACTGTCATGTGGTTTTATTGATATAATTATTTCATTTTTGATTGCACCATGGATATTTTATTGCAAATTATTGAGTATAGCCTCTTGAAAATCAGCTGACTGTGGTGAACTAAAATTGAACAATTAAATACGCACAACTCTTCCATATTCAGTATTTCAGACATTGACTTACCTTAGTCAGTTTTTCTAACAATTGCAATTGGATAACAGCTGTGAAGTGTTTAGTATTGCTGTTCTTGCACATTTTAGTTATAAATACCAATATTTTAAAATACTTACTAATGCATTCTGGTAGAGGTTTATCCCAGTGTCCATTAGGCTGGCAGATTAAAATTGAAGAGCCAAATAAAAAATATCCAGGATTGCAGTCATAAAAAACAACTGTACCGTAGGTGAAATTTCCATGTTCTATTTTGCTTTCTCTTATAGAATTTCCAGAGATTCCTGGATCCGAACAATTGACCACTAAACAAGAGCAATAACAGAAATTGATAGGACCTGTACATTTCACATTAGAAAATAATATCAAAGGCTTGTAAAGTTAGCATTAATTAATGCTAATGTATAAAAATGATGTGCTTTAATCCATTTTTTTGGTTTACTAAAATACTTGAAAAATGTATACACTGTATTCTGTATGTATATATTCTATAATGAGTGGTGATTATTATTATTATTAATGCCACTGTCTCTGTCTCTGTAACCTTATAGAATTAATGCTGAAGCACAGCAGTACTTTTTAATATTCACATTCCTTTTTAAAAATGAGTCACCTTTATTTCCAATTCACATTCATTAGGAGAGAAATTATATTAATGAAAATGCACTGTTTCTTGTAAGTAAGCATACATATCTTGCTTATAGGTAACCACAGAGTTGCACAATCTTCATATATAATATTTAATAAGGAGCACTTTGGACAAACTTCCTAAAGCTTATGTAAAAGATTGCAGCACTTGCAAAATATTGCCCTGAATGAAAATTACATTTTATAGTCATTATCTGTCTTGTCAAAAATAATTAGGCTACTTATTGAGCATACCTAGTGTTCTTTGTCTGCACAACAGTATATCTTGCTAGCTCAGCCCAGAAACATTCAATAATTTCTATCATGCTAACCAGCGGTGCAGCTAAGTAATTTCAAACTCTGAACTTCACAGTCTTACGCTTTCTCTGTGGCAGCCATATCCATCACATCAGCTATAAAACATGCATTAAACATGTTTCTCCTCCCCACCATCATCATTCTATATGGAGAAATCATTTAAGTAAGGGCAGTTTCTCATTTTTAACTAATTTTCATTACAGCACCATAGGAAATAAATAAATAAGTAAATAAATAGCATTGGAGTCTACTGCTCTGATGATTAAAGCATCGCATTAGAAAGAAATGTCCTTTGATGGGAGAAATATACCAGCACTTATCCCAACATGACTGATTTGAAAAAGCTAAGTGTGATCACGTGTGGTTAGAACTTGGATGGTGAATAAGGACTCTCAAGAAATCTCAGAGTTACAGGCAAGATTAGAAAACCGCAAGAAAAAGGCCACCTACTCAAAGAAAACTTTGCAACACACCAGAATACACACAATACACCGGAATACAAATAATAAAATAAAGAACTATAATTATGAGCAACATATAAAGTTTACATCTAAGAAAAAATAACAAGAAGAAAATAACAATAATATATCATGTATTATATAATATAAAAACATAATACAACAGTAAGAATGGCTGGAATACTAAATAAAAGGCAAGTGGCAGTCCTACACATTTGTATGGATTTTTTAAAATTATTTTTTATAAATTTCCTGAGTGATTTTCATAGCTTGAATGCTGCTCTGGACTTTTTTTTTCTTTACCTCCCACTATTAGGAAATAAATTAGCTTAACTTTTCATACAAGGACCTAACTAGCCGCAAACAGGCAGTTTTGATTACTTTTTATACTAATCAATTTATTTCTCAGGATGTTCGTGAACTGGTTTGAAAGAAAATGGATATGAGCTGTTGATTTTAATGCAACTCATTTGTTTCAATTTCCCCTTTTAAAACAAATGAAATTTCCTGGATGTTTCAGCTTTTCAAAAAGAAACTGCAATCAATACACATATTAACTTTGATCTTCAGCAAAAAATAAATAAAGTTTAAACTAGCATAAATTAATGTTCAGTGAACCTGAATCATTTATCTTTTCCAAGTAAAATATTAATTGATCTTTATCAGAAGACGCAGAAATATTTTTTTTTAAAAAGGGAACTTTACAAAAGGAAGAAAATCTACAGAATTTGTGTAGCACCAAACAAAAAGGAAAAACAGCTATTCTCTGAAAAAGAAGACAAACATATTAAGACAAACAAATTTCAAAATATATTGTACGTGGTTTTATGCATTGTTCCATGCTTCAGTCATTGTGGAAAGTCTGTTACTAGCACACAGAAATGTTCCTACAAAGGTAGTGTCAGCTTCTGAAATGAACCTGGCTTAAGCCATCTTCGTCGCTCTAAATTGCTACAGGTTGGGGGGAAGGAAAAAGGCAGCATTGCTAACTAAACTTAAAGCAATCCCATGGGACCCAAGGTCATTTCCACAGAAACTGGAAGGTGGAAAAAAGAAGTTTAACAGAGCCTGCCAATTGCTTCTATTGGGTAGTGTGATCAATTGCATAGCAAAGGGGAGGGAATTGTTACATTTAGCTACATTGAATCTTTAAGGGGAAGTTTAGAATTGGTTTCACTTTTGACTGTGCCAATATTAAGTATCCAATAAACATGAGCTCTGAGGAAACTTCAAGTCTCGGAGTTCTGATTTATTTGGTTTTATTAGTCAGAACCTTGACAGATAGGTTACAAGTAAAAAGTCCCTTAAATCTGAGAGATTCCTTGGATACATCCATGATGCTCTCTTGACAATATGCTGTGATATTTTTATTTTATAATCTAGGTTATGATTCTGGATTTCCTGATAGTTTTCCAATTACAAGTGGTCCTCAACTTACAACTAATTGCTTAACAACCATTTTAAGTTATGATAATTTGAAAAAAAGGGACTTATGACCCAGATTTGAAGTTCTGAAGGCCATGTCTGTATTTTGGCTGCTTGGCAGCCAGTCTGCATTGACAGCCATTTATAGTGCCCTGTAGTTGCATGACTGCATACAACGTTTTTTGTTGGCAAACTGTACTTATTTCCATTTTCTTGCAAAAAATGCCTGATACCAAAATGGTGACCCACTTAATGACCATCACAACCTTTTAGTTAAAATGGTGAGCTCAATTATAGTCATAAATTGAGGACTACCTGTATATATTAATCAGCGCAGATCTCAATTGGCTCCCTGGTTCACCGAGGAGCTGAGAGAGATGAAGTGCCGGAAAAGACGCCTGGAGAGCAGTTGGAGGGCGAGCCGAACCGAATTCGACCGAACACAGGCAAGGATACAGGTTAGATCCTACCTAGTGGCGATGAGGGTGGCGAGGTCTAACTACTACTCCACCCTCATTGCGTCATCAGATAATCGCCCGGCCACCCTCTTCAGGGTGACCCGCTCTCTCCTTCAGTTGAGGGGGGGAGAGGATTCCCTGGAGGGGAGGGCCGAGGACTTTGCTCAATATCTGTCTGACAAAGTCGCTCGGATTCGAGAAGGTCTTGACTCTGACTGGGTGGCCCCGGGGGAGGAGTCAGGAGTAAGTCTTGAGACGGTTATATGGGAGGAGTTTGACTCTGTGGCTCCTGAGGATGTGGACAGGATTCTCGGGAGGCTGAATGCAACCACATGTTTACTGGATCCGTGCCCCTCCTGGCTGGTACTGGCTGCC